TATTTGCATGCTTCGAGACCATATTTCATGCTGTTTCAGAGCTGTAATTTATGCTATTCCATGCCATCTTTCATCCCTTGCCATGCTTTGGTAGAGTGGCATTCGATGCCTTAGGTTCGGTCCTTGGTATTTGTGGATGTGTGCGCGCATTTCGGTTGTCTCATTTTCATCTAATGGCCACTGATGTGAGTGTGGCTGAGGTCCACTCATGTTGCTGTAAGTCCATCATGCATTGTGTGTGCCATTTCAGTTCATAGCATTGCGTATGCTAGGTTGCATGTTAGAGCATTGTGTATGCCATGTTACGTTGAGCATTGTGTATGCCATTTCATAGTATTGCGTATGCTAGGTTGTATGTTAGTCGCATTGTGTATGCCATCTCATTTGCATCGTGTTTGGCACGTGGCTATGGTGGCGCCGAAGTCAGTCGAGGTGCCACGTGGCTTGGTCATGCGCCGAGATGATCTTAGCTAGGCCGAGGTTATTTGCAGAGATACCGGAATCCGAGATAAGCGGATAAGGGACAAGAGTCCTAGAATGGGAGAAGACTTCAGTTTGGGTAAAGATAAGACTCTTAGAGAGTTGTGATTGGTGGCACGAGGATCGAGGACTACACTCCCTGAAGAGTAGTCATGCATACATATGTGAAAATACTTTGCCATGCCCCTTTCTTGCTCTCTGTTGCAGCAAATTAGAAATCAACAGCCTTTTGGAGCTTCGCATAGCATTCCGGGATTGAGTGTAAACAGAGGCGAATCGGGGCATCGCAATGGATTTTCACGCAAGGCAACTCGAGTATGCATCCTTCATCATTCGGAACAGAGCTGAGGCGGTCCATAGTTTGCATGCTAATTTATCCGCTTTCCTAGTTAAATGGTTAATTAATTAGGATTTTGTACTTATTCGGACTGTATTATTTATTCGGACCCTCCGAGTGAGGGCACAACTGTAATAAGTGTGTGTGCGTGTGATGTATGTCTTCCAACCCCACGTCTTTCTCCCTTTTATTTACCAGCTTATGATGGTTAGATTAGGGCATGTTTCAATTAGCATACTTATGCTTGCATGTTTGCATCACTCATCTGTTTTGCATGCACCGGGCTTGGCGCATCATACTAACTGCATTTGTATCTCAATTCCGAGTTGAATACTTGTTAGCTATAGCATTTCACATGTCATTTTAGAATAGTCGAGCCTATTGTAGTTGCATTTTTGCATATGTTGCATTAGGCATTTCTGTATAGTTAGGATCATGCATGGATTTCTAACATAGCTTCTGTTTTGGCTTGGAGTACTCGGTAAGTATTTATGCTTTAGCATCCTTGCATGCGTGTGAGTGACTTTCATGATAGCATGCTTGCCACGAGGCTAACTGCTTATGTGATATAACTGTCTGAATGCCTGTGGGTGAAGGTTGGGTTATTTGGATTGGAACAATTCATCAATTGTGAGTTTTAAGCCCACTTGAGAGTGGCAAATCATCATGTTTTCTAAGCCCACCTGAGGGTGACAAATTCACATTTTAGCCTACTTGCGAGTAGCAAACCGTTTTTCGAAACAAACATGAAATGTTTTGTTCCAATTCAGGCGATCCAGTCTATACTTGTATGTTGCGCGCATCACATAGTAAATCTAGGCTAATAACCGGAATAAGAACACACAATGTTTTTCAAAAATAGATATCATGGTTAGTAGAGGCCGATCTTTGATCGGGCGAGTGGGGGTGCTCACGAAGTGACCTTCCCTAATCGTATCCAAGTTCTCGAGCCGAGGCAACTTTGGTGATGTCGGACACGTTGCCTTAGGCAATGAGTCAGGGTTTCCTAAATTTTCCAAAATAATTATTTAGGTGGCGACTCTGTATCTGGCAAAGCAGTCCATGTTTGGCACTTCTTTCAAAAAATCTATTTTCAAAAATGATTTGCCAGATTTGGACTCTTTAATGATTCATCGGTCTTGCATTGCACTCTGCGAGATTAGATACAGGGCCGTGACTTTGAGTCTTGAACTGTAGTGATCCCAAATGAACAGAACGGGACTCATCCTCCCAGGGCGTTCGGGGACGTCTACACTGTCCTCCTTTCTCCTTTTGACCTCATGTTCCAGTAAGTTCCTACCTTCAGCCTTAATATCCCAGTCATGGTGTGCAGCCTCAGCTTGTTTCAATTGCTCATCAATGTTTCCAAACACTTCACAATTCCACCTTTTGAGATGTGCTCTGAGATTCTCCCAGCTTTTTAATTAACCTATAACTAGCTTAACCACTAATCTGATTATTATCCCAAGATTTCCTCACTTCAGATTTAAAATTAGTATGTAAGCCCCAAACATTTATGAATCTAAATGGCCTTGGACCCCAATTCCTCTCATCTTCCATTAACAATATAGGGCAGTGGTCAGAGATACTTCTAGGTAGCCTCCACTGCTTAAATGAGAACTTTTCCAACCACTTATGGTCAATTAGAAATCTATCAATCCTACTCCACCTATCCCCATCCAAAGCATTGCACCATGTAAAGATTTTGCCTATCATTGGGATAACAATCAGCTCCAAATTATCAATCAAATCATTGAAATCCTTCATTCCTCTATCCCTCCTCAAACACCCTTTCCTTTCACTCATAACTCTAACTTCATTGAAATCACCTCCTACATACCAAGGGCTTACAAAAGTAGATTTAAGTTTCACTAGAGATTCACATAGCTTCCTTCTTTTCAGTATTTCATTTGGAGCATAAATGTTTACTATAACACAGTCAAAAGAGTGGTTTGAAGTACCTGACAATAGAACGAAATTTCTATTACTGCAACACTGCTGTAATACAAAGATATCTGGATTCCACAAGCATAGCATACCTCCAGCACTACCCTTTGCACCAGCCTCCATGAAATCCATCTCCCCCCAAGGCCATAATGACTTAACAAAATTTGCATCAACATTGCACCTCTTTGTTTCTTGTAACAATAGGACATCAATCTTTCTATCCCTAACCAAATTCTTTATTTGCCTCCTCTTTTCAGGCCTTCTTAGCCCTCTAACATTCCAAGATAATATTTTCATAAGGAAACTACTAACATATTCCAAACCTCCTAGTAACAACCAATTGGCTTAGGAGGCTGCACCTATGCCTTCCATTCTTTCAAGATCCTTTTCTTCTAGCGCAATTGTTTTGTTTACCACCTCCTCCTCCTTGTCTTCACAACTAAGCACTAAAATTTTCCCAACTTGAACTGTGGCTTTTGCTTCAATCACATCTTCCTCTTTCTCCTTGAATCTGAACTCTGGGAGACTGATAATGAGATTGCAGTAGCTATTGCCTGGAATATAGCTCCCTTTTGCAGACCATTGCTGAACAGCACACCCTTGTTCTTCAGTTGCTTTCGGTTTGACTTTCCCTTATTCGTCATATCAGCACGTTTTCTCATACTAAGGTTGATGGCTATTTCACTGGTCTTCCCCCTTATTGCTATAATGCCCCTATTGTTCACACCCTGCTGGGCTGGTGTAATAACCAGTGGACTTAACTGAGTGTGTTCTGCACAATCACTAAGGTTAGAAGCCTCAATGATAGGCCCATCTGCCAAGTCCCCAAGCTGTGCCTCATTTAAAACAACCTCTAAATTGATATTGGGCCTTAAATTTTCTGGCCCAATAAAACTCCTAATGACTCCAATGGAACATATCTGACTTGTAACTATTTGAATTTCATTTGCCACATCTTTTCTTGACCTACCCACCTGTTGCAGACCTACCTCCATACAGTCACCTCCATCATTTGGATTTTCCACATTACACCCAATCTCTTTTACGACTGATACAGACTCCCATTTATTGCTTCTTCCCTTCTCCTCTGCATCTGTGTCTACCATGCCCTGCCCTTTGCTTAAAACATCATTTTTCCTTGACATTTACTTTCCCTACATTTGCATTCTTATCATCCTCATCTCCATTATCATGTTTTGACATTTGATTAACCTGTTCCTGAGATTTGGAAGCAACCTCCTCACTCCCCTGGCTTTGTTGTTGACAAACAAAAGGAGTGACAAATACGGATAAATCTTCACACACACGAACTGGGAAAAACTTACCATTGCATTCAACCTTGATCATTGTGTTTATGAACTCAAATCTATTCGTAATAATTCTTACCTTTCCATATTGGAAGGAGTTGTGATTAAGAATATTGTCATCCAACTGAACAACTTCCCCCCATAGTTTACCAATATTTGTGAAAGTGTGGAAACTCCACAAGTTAACTAGAACACCCACACAAGTAATCCACACACACCTTTCATGAGCAATATACAGCCTTTTTTTCCAATCAGTTATGGATTCACACCAATCAAAAATCCATTCTTCCATAGATAGTCTTGCTTCCTTCATATGTCGCATTGATTTAAATGTTAATAATGCTAACCTTCCACCTCTATCTCTCACTCTTATCTCCTTCATTTCTCTTCTTTCAAACTCCTGCTTAAAATCATTGAATGAAAAAAAGTTCTTTAGCTTCACAATCAGACTTTCGTATAGCCAACCATTTCCAGACTCATAAGCCTTAACAACTATTTCCATCTTCTCCTGAAGGCCTCTATTTTGAACAGCTTCAGCGTAAGATCTACCTACAGGCTTCAATTGATGCTGTGCCGAGTTCCTTTGTTAGTACTGTCTCATCATCTCACCTCCTCTGTTTCTTATTGTGTGCTAGTTTTGCACTTCCTTGTAATACTCTGTTTTTTGCATTGCGAAAATTCTCTGTTGGTACTGCCCCATCTTCTGGCCCCCTAAGTTTCTTACTGTGGGTTTTTTTTGATCCCTTTTTTTTATATTTTGCATTCTTCACCTTTAGAGCTTTGTTGTCACACCATATCCCATCAGCCTTTTGCACCGCCATGTCTGCTGCAACCTCATAGTCATACCTTACAAATCTAAATCGGGAGCCTGATACTTGTCTTCTTTTTGCTGGAATGAAGACATACTTAACTATTCCAAACTTACTGAATCAAGTGAATAACCTTTTTGGATCCATAGAGTTAGGTATCTCATCTACAAAGATGGTAAACAACCCATCTACATCATTAAATCGGTTACTTTGAATGCCCACTATTCCTTCTCTTCTTCTTCTAAACATTGGGTTCCACCCTCCTCTCTCCATTCCAAAATGATAACTAACTGTATAAAGTCTTAGAAATATTACAAGAAATTGCAAAGAGAATACTCTTCTTCCGAATTTGAGTGATTATTGCATGAGGATTCACACTACTCAACAAAGAGAATAAATAAGAAAATGTGTCGTTCTCTCATGTACGTTTAAGGTACTTGCCCTACGATGTCTGTCTATCTGTCTGTCTCTCTCTTTGTGTGTGTGGGTTGACATGCCCTTGCTCTCTCACTCTAACAATTGTTAAAAGTTATTCTAGGAAGAAGATAACAGATGTTGTGTCAGAGTAATAACACTTGAATTATGAAAACCAAGAAATTAAGAAAATGTCAGTAGTTGTCGGAAAATACATAAATACACATAGCGAAAGCTTTGATTACAAATTGTTGTAAAATAATTGAAAAACTCTAATACCACTGTTGTTGACAGTCCCACCAACAATAGTCCCTTTTTGATACTATATGTTTTCTTTTGTGCTGTGGAAGTCAAAAGATCCATTCTTTTATAAATTTGGCATTCCATTTAAAATGGTTGTGAAAAATATCAACTCTCATTTGTTGTAGAATAATTGTGCATGGCCAAGAGATTTGACTTTTTATTATCGTCTACACAACATAAACATGAACAAAAGAATCTCTACTTTAATGAAAGAAAAACCATTGTATTAAGTCCTTGTAACTTGACAAACATATTAGCATCTAAATCAAAAAAAGAGAAAAAGGTAAATATGTTCTAGATTTGGAAAGAAGATGATATTGAGAGGAATCAGGAACATGGCCCCATGAATAGAAAAAAGAGAACCTTTACGCAAATTGTCCTTGCATATGCTACATTTCTATTTATGTTCTTCGGCATATCCAAAACCAATGTGTAGCGTAAAAAGGGTTTGAAGTTTCTGTGAAGAATCAAGCTCTATTGTTTGAAGTAAGGCATGTAATGATGCAAATGTGGGGTTAAGGAATAACAGTGCAATCCTATTTGGGCAAGGTGACCGTGCAATGCATTTGCATATTTTTGCTTTGCCAAAGGAGAATTGCCCTACTATTCTTTCTCACAATCATTAATTTGATAACTTAAGCTTTAAGTTTTTGCATAATCACCATCTGAACCAAGTTTCATTCTCATTTTCTAGATCATCCGCGCCACTTATACTATTGGCCTTCATTATTCATTATCATAGTTATTACTTATGTTATCCTTGCTTATTATTTTGGGTTTCGTGAGTTTTTCTTTGGTTGATAAATGTGTAAATTCTGCAATGAACTGGCCCATCAACTTCAATAGAGAGTGACATTTATTTTGTTATTTGAAGTGGTTGGAAGACAGTATATTAAGAAAAAAAGGAAAGCCATCAATTTTAGCCATGTTTGTTCTTGTCTTAGGGAAACATCCCAACTGCAAGCACGTGTGGTTGTCTTTATTTCCTTTTGGTTGTTGCTTTGTTTGAGTTGGATCCTCTCTAACTCCTGATTGGCGTAGGATTGCACTTGATTAGTTCTGCATCGGATGTCAACCTTGGTGAGATGTGGTGTTTTGACAATGATGCAGTTTTCTTCCCTGCCTTTGGTTGTATTTTCTCTCATTTCTCCCCCGTTTAATAAAATTTATTCTTTGCTAATAAAAAAGAAAAAAAGAAAAAAAAGAAGGGAAGCCATCAAGCTGGTGGTTTTATTTTGATTTGCAAATTTTGTATAAGAACTGGAAGTTGAAAATTAGCACTTATTTCACCATTACAATTTACAAGGTTTGTGAGAAACTATGAATATGTTAGTGGTGATTGCGTTTGTAATAATTTATTATTATAATTAGAAAAATAAAAGATTTATTGGTAAATAAAGAAATGCAAGTAATAAAACCAAATTAGAACAATAAGAATGACACAATACAAAAGAATGGTTGGCTTTGTTTGGCTTTGTCTTGTTTTTCTGGCTTTGTTGCTTGTTAGCTCTTTTTCTTGTTTGTGGTTGGTTGGTCACCAACTCTTGATGGTGTGTTAGCAAGTGATTGGGTGGGCATATCGGTGCCAACTTAGTTGGGATATGTATGTTTCGTTATGATACTTTTTGCATTCATGCCTTATCTTTATTGATGTAATGCTTTCTTTGTTCATCAAGGTTTTTTCTTTTGCCGATCAAAAAAACAAAAAATAAATAAAAATAAAAATAATTCAAAGGAATGGTTGTTTCTCTACTTGAGTTGTTTTCAATTTTTGTTTTGATTTTTTAGAGTTGTGTTTGCACCATAAATTATTTTTTGTCGATTATGGCCAAATCTAATTTTGTTAATTGTGGCATGTCAATTATAGTCTGTCGATTCAAAGCATAAACTATCTATAAAGAGTAACTACGGCCACATTTATTCTTCTTGTTGTTGTTGTTGTTGTTGTTAATGTTGTTGTTGTTTGTATTTTCATTGTACGAGATGTGGAACTCTTATTTATAATGGAAATTAAGAGATGTTATAGGAGAAGTCAAGAATAAAGGAATGTAAGACAAGTGGTGACACAAGGACGAAGATGGAGAATGTAGGAGATTATTGGCTGTTCTTGGGTGGTGGTTACTTCCTACACAATCTATAAATAACCTCTTATGGCTATTGTAAAAAGACCTTCAACAACAAAACTTACCATTTTAGCTTAGTTTTATCTTAGATACTGATGAAAATATAAATCTCTTCTATTTGATTCAATGGTTCACATATACACAGCTCAAGATATTATATAGTGCAAGTACTCTAACTAACTCAGTTAAGAAACAATTCTAACTACCTAACAAACATTACAACTGTATCTATATCTGTTATAGATATTATCTGGAGAACATTTAGTGAAACATGGTTGTGAGAGATAGGGTATCAATGTTGACTTCTTCTCTAGCTCTAGCTGTGACTGCAGCTTTGGCTCTTCCTCTAACTGTGATTGTGGCAACTGAGTAAGTATCTTAGCAATCCCCTGCAAACCGATGGGGCAAGGCTACACAAGAAGCTTGTCTCTCAAATAAAGAAAACGAGAGGTAGAAAGAGGTTTGGTGAAGATGTCAGCCACCTGGTCTGTGGTACGAACATATTTCCAATCAATCAGTTTGGCAACAATTTCATCCCGAATAAAATGCCAATCGATTTCTATATGTTTAGAACGAGAGTGAAAAACTGGATTAGAAGCCAATGCCATAGCAGAGAGGTTATCACGCCAGAGCTTAGGAATGGAAGATGAGGGAATATGCATGTCTGTCAGTAATTGCTGCAACCAAGTTAATTCAGCAGTGGCATTAGCCAAGGCCCTACACTCAGCCTCAGTAGATGATCTAGAAACAATGGACTGTTTCTTAGCACTCCAAGAAATCAGATTAGGACCCAAATATACACAGTAACCTAAAATGGATTTTCGATCAACGCTATCTCCAGCCCAGTTTGAATCAGAAAAAGCATGAAGAAATAAGGGACCAGAAGTAAATTGCAGACCATGGTGAAGAGTACCTTTCACATATCTCAACAATCGCTTGACAACTTGAAAATCAGCATTAGTAGGGAGATGCATATGTTGGCATGCCTGGTTAACAACTAAGGCTAAATCAGGCCTGGTAATGGTGAGATACTGCAAGCCACCAACAATACTCCTATACAGAGAAGGATTAGAAAATGGAAGACCATCTGAAGAAGAAGAATGAGAAGAAGCTTTGACAGCTAAAGGAGTAGAGCAGGGTTTACGATCAGTTAAACCAACTTTGTGAAGAAGCTCAGTTGCATACTTAGCTTGAGATAAAAAGTAACCATGAGATAAGGCTTGAACTGAGATGCCCAAGAAATAGGAGACAATAACCAATTTCTTTATAGAGAACACAGTATGCATATGTTGAATAAATTGTGTAAAAAGAGAAGAATCACTACCAGTGACTATCCTATCATCAACATAGACTACAAGAAGGAGAAGACTGGTGGAAGTATGCTGAACAAAGAGAAAGGAATCTGAATAGGAGTTGTTTTCTTCAATCTTATGAGTAATTTTCAACGTAATTCAGTAGTTTGTAAACTTGTAAACTTTGATAGATTACATAGAAATTGTCTTTGTTTACTCCCTTTTCGTGATTGACGATTTATTTCAAAGAAATCCTTGAACTTTCAAGGCATTGAACCAATTATAAAATTGCTTGGTTACATTTGATTGTTTGGTTAAAATTGTTGTACAATTCTTGTCGATTTGGCGTTAACATAATTTTTACTAAAAAGTTGGAACCACTTCAACTCTGGTCTATTTCTCCATTTGGATGCATATAATTGGTTTCGCATCCGAGGTGTCAACATAGTTGGGATGTCATGTTCAAACAACGACGTAAGTTTTTCCCACCACTTGAGTTCTCTGTTTTGTCATTTTAAATAAAATTTCAATTCATTTAGTTGATACAAAAAAAAAAAAAGGAAAAAGAAAAGAAAAAGCTCAATACAAAAGTATGATTGCTTGTAAGGAAAGGCAATGAAGGGTGCACATGTAGGGATGGCAATCTGAAACCGGCTCAACGGTGACCCGACCCCCCGACCCCGAATTTAGTGGTTATTCACCAAAAAATATCCCCTATGGGCCGGGGATGGTATTCAAAAATTCATCCTTGATGATATCCGGGCTGGGGACGAGGATAGGTGTTTCAAACTTGGACCCGGCCCTGCCCCTCGGCCCCGCCCCGCCTAGTCCCCGAGGTAAAATTACCGTTTTGTCCCTGGATATATATATATGCTTGTATTTGTTTAGGGTTTGACACAGACACACACACACACTCAGCCTCTCACTCACACACGGCGCTCCTCTCTCTCTCGTTCGCCACTGGTCTCTCCCTCTCTCTTTCATCTGTCACTGCCACGCCTCCCTCCTCACCGGCGATCCTCCGTCACCACCAAGCCTCCCTTACCACATCATCTCTGTTGTTTACCATTTTGCCTCCCCGTCTCTCTCTCTCTCTCTCTCTCACACACACACACACACATATACACAAACACACACGACGACGGGGCTGTTGTTTTCTCTCCCTCACCGTTGATCCTCCCTCACCGCCGCTCCTCCGTCGCTGCTCTCTCTATTTAGGTATCTCTCTCGCTCTCTCTAGGGATTTGATCTAGGGTTTACATATATGTATATTATATATATATATATATATATATATATATATCTGAGTGTATATAGGGTTTCGATCTAGGGTTTTCTAGGGTTTCGATCTGAGTGTATATATATATTTCAATCTAGGGTTTCAATCTAGGGTTTTGTTCAACCTCTGTTTTTTTTCCCTCTAAATTTATTTATTATATATATATATAAATATATCTGTTTATATATTTCTTTATTATGAATCTGAAGGATTATTTTTATTGAAGATCTGTTTAGATCTGTTTATTTTATATATTATTGAAGATGATGATGTTGATGATGTTGTTCTGTGTGTAGAAATTAGGTTTAGTTAGTTTGCTCACTACTGACATTTGGTTTTCTCATCCAGGTATTTTCTCTTTATTGATTGTGGCTTCTGAGTGTATTTTACTTCTTCTGGTGTGTTCTGAAGTTGAAATTATGTGAAGATATCTGTTTGTAGTTGAATTGTTAATTTGTTAATTTGTGTCCAGATATCTGTTTGTAGTTGAAATTATGTGAAGTTGATGATGTTGATTGATGTTTAGTTAATTTGTTTAGTTAACAATTGATTTGTTAATAAACATGGTTTCTCTGAGCTATATTGTTCATAGCTGATGAGATTCATTCCATCTCGCAAAGATGTGACAAGTGCTACATCTGACTAGAAGAAAAGAAAATACCAATTACCAGTCTAAAATCCTCAAAAATTCTTGGCTATTTCATAGAATTTTCAAGCAGATAATTCACAAAATGAACTATTGTTATAATATTGCTAAAGTATAATTGAAATTAAATGATGTAAATAAGAGCAACACAACTAATTAGGTAGAGTTTGCAACTCGAAATTTGAGGTCAAAAAATCTTTAACAATATTTATAGAATAAACTCCCCTTAGGAGCCTCCACAATTTAACCACTCCCAAAATGAAAATTGAACAACTAGATTTGATTGCAAACATAGAAAAAATATTCATAAACTCATTCCACTTTTGCATTGAATGACACATAATGCATTCCCACTTCCATCGAATGGCTGAAGAAGTAAACAAAGCCATAGATCCCACAACAATGAAGCCTTTTTGGTCCAAAGAAAAGTGTTCGTAGTAGTTTTAGAAGTCTTAAATAATTCTACTTTAAATTTAATATGTTTCTTGATAGATTTATTTATAATTTGTGCAGTTTTAGTAAACAATAATATTATGGCAATTTCTGTTTTGCTGGACAATGATTTTTTATTGGATGTGTGGGTGACTTTATGGATGAAGTTACGTTTTTAGGTCTTATATGTGGTTTATATTAGGTCTAGAATATTCTAACTAGTCATAATTTCTTAATTTCCTAATTTTGTGTTGTACTTTTTACAAAATTAGAAGAAGTCTAGCAGCAAAAAATATCTATGTAATTCATGTATTCAAGAGAATCAAGAGAGCATTGAGTTGAAGAGAATTTGAGAGTTTGTACATGTGGACCTAACCTTTCCCCACCGCTTTTATGCACTATATTTCATATGTTAATTTAAAAAATAAACAAATTTTGTTTTTCGGGCTCTTTTGAGTTTGGGTTAACCTATTTTCTCATTATTAAAAATTATATGTAAATGACAGGTATGTTATTGAAAACAGAGAAAGAAAAAAGAAAATTGATGTAAGAAAAAACTATTATTAACGAAATCATAGCTTAGTTTTGTTAATAAAGAAAAAATAAAATTGATGTTTAGTTAATTTGTTTCTCAGTTCCATTAATTCAATCCATGTTATTAGTTATTATTAATTTGATTCTTAGTTCCAGTAATCTACTTTTATGTTACCTCTGTTAATATTAATTCAACCCATATTATTTTTATAAAGGTTAAAAATGTCAGATGTTAACTCTCAAGCACCAGTTAACTCTGAAGTACCTGTTAACTCTCAAGTACCATTTGAGAGTGACGCGTCACAACATTCATTGCCAGCTACAAACTCACCTACGAACTCACCATCTTCCCTCTCTAATCAAAATGTTATTGATTTAGAAGAAGAGTCTAATACTATTTGTGGAGGAACTAAAAGAAAACCTAGTGTTGTGTGGAAACATTTTAAAAAACAACAAGTCAATAGGGTGTGGAAGGCAATATGTAATTATTGTAATAAGCATCTTGGAGGTGATTCAGAAAATGGAACTAGGCATTTGCATGATCACCATAAGAGTTGTACTAGGAAAAAAGTGATGGACATGAGGCAAAGAGTGTTAACTAACAATTTTAGTATAGAGAGTCCAAAAATGAATTTTTATATTTTTTATCAAGATTTTGCTAGGAAAGAGTTGTCACATGCCATAATCTTGCATGAATATCCCCTCTCTATCGTAGACTATGTTGGTTTTAAACGATATTCAGCAGCACTTCAACCATTTGTTAAAGTGCTTTCTCGAAATACGATAAAGAGTGATATTTTAAAGATTTATGATTATGAGAGCTAGAATTTAGAAATTCAAGAAAAGGTTGCGAAACAGAAGCAGAGAAACAGAACATACCTGGGGTGAGTGTTGGTTGACTAAAACAGAAACCAAATAAGCCCTAGAATTTAGAAATTCAAGAAAAGGTTGCGAAACAGAAGCAGAGAAACAGAACATACCTGGGGTGAGTGTTGGTTGACTAAAACAGAAACCAAATAAGCCCTAGAATTTAGAAATTCAAGAAAAGGTTGCGAAACAGAAGCAGAGAAACAGAACATACCTGGGGTGAGTGTTGGTTGACTAAAACAGAAACCAAATAAGCCCTAGAATTTAGAAATTCAAGAAAAGGTTGCGAAACAGAAGCAGAGAAACAGAACATACCTGGGGTGAGTGTTGGTTGACTAAAACAGAAACCAAATAAGCCCTAGAATTTAGAAATTCAAGAAAAGGTTGCGAAACAGAAGCAGAGAAACAGAACATACCTGGGGTGAGTGTTGGTTGACTAAAACAGAAACCAAATAAGCCCTAGAATTTAGAAATTCAAGAAAAGGTTGCGAAACAGAAGCAGAGAAACAGAACATACTTGAAAATCCTAAGTGATTCGTGATTAGATCAAGATTAAATATTCCAAATCCCAAAAATCCAAAACACACAATCTAAATCAACAAGCACTTACGAAAGTGATTTAGATTGTTTGTTTTTCAGAATAAATAATAAATCGACACAAACGATTTTTACGTGGAAAAAACCACAATTGGGCACCTCCAACTGTGATTAAAAAACCACGGGCGAAACGCCACTAATCAATCCACTACTGAAAAAGAAAGATTACAAAGATAACATACAAATTACCCAACTCAGTCAATTTGTCTTCGAATCTTCTGTAACTCTTTCTCCACGACTTCGTCTCGGAACTGATCAATCCTGAAGTTGATTCCACAACCTCACTTGTTGAATTAACGACTACGTATAGAATCAAACCCCTTTTGAACCTATACGCTTGAATCTTCGGAATCCACCGAAGAGAACTCTCTCTTGAATTTAAAGTAACCAACTCCTTGATGTATGTATTTTAGATCATGAGTGAAGAACTCTTCTCAAAACATCAAGGAAAACTCATGAAAACTTCAGAAGAAAACTTCAAACAAAACCCTAGGACTCTTGAATAAGATCTAGGAAAAAAGTAATCCTAAAAACAACCTAACAGATATAAATAGGAATCTTGAATCTGCGATCTCCGCTTGAGCGCCCAACATCCCACTCGAGCGGCTTCAACAAAATACGCGTGTGGTAACACAGTGA